CCACTAGAAGTCATTGCCCACCAGTAAATTGACCAGTCTGGCCGTTGTTGCTTTCCTCGATCTTCACAAACGATTCCCAATGGAGAGCTGCAACATCTCTTACAACCAAAGCCCTTAATTGCGAGTTAATGAGCTGGAGGACAAATGGGGCCATCTGCATCTCTCGAACAAATTCCGCGGGGGAGTGGAATAAGACCGACAAAGGCTTTGACGTAGCTAATGAAAGAGGCAGAGATGGATGAAAAAAACAATGTGAACGCCGTTGAAAAGAAAGTCGTAGGTATTAAGGTGACCGTCATGCATCACCAAGTGATCAAACTGTCACGAATGCTCTAACAGAAGATGACAGGTGTCCATAGACACCACGTCCAACCAAACCGCATCTTTATACTTGACACCGATGGAAAAAAGAGGCCAAAACAAGACAATCCACAATAATGGAAAAATAGATCAGCAATTTAATGCAACCTATAAATTATAGATTTATTTTCCTTATTTTTTCTTTAAAAATCATGCAATTTAATTTATAAATACGCTTTAATATAATCATACAATTTAAATTATAAAAATCATGCAATTTAATTTTTTTTCTTTAAAAATATGCTTTAATATATGTATATATATAGTACTTTTTTTGTAATAAATTCAAGTAAAATGTGTTACTTAAATATCTAAATAATTAAAAAATTCAAATGTTTGATCTAAATGATAAATAATTTATAAATCTCTATTTATTTAAATATGTAATTTTATTTAAAATAATTTTAAGTATAGCAAAATTTATTTATAAAATCGTATCGATCCTACCAGTTCAACCGACTGGTGTTGACGGATTCAATAACAAATATTTTACTCAAAAGAACTAGACTGATTATAAATCCATTCTTGGTCCATCCGGTCGACTATGTCCAACACGGTGTAATTTAAAGCAATATGTAAATCTTGATTAATTTATTTGTATATTTAATTTATAACACAATCGTAATATTACTTTCTCGTGCATTGCACGGGCCACGCACTAGCTTTAAAGTAATAATAAATAAATATGGGGTAAGATAAATAAATATTATCCTACCAAAAACAAAATGCAAATATTAATAATAAAGGAATAATTAATTAAAGTAATGATCCTAGACGATCATGTTTGTTCGAAAAAGCCAATGCATTTTCGTCTCCATCAACTGTCATTTCGAAAAAAAAAAAAAATTGAATAGAATGTATGCATTCTGGATTCTTATACTTTAAGTATTTTGGTATTCGTGCTTAAAAATTTAAAATATCTTAAAACGTCATGAGGTATTTATTTGAGACTTAGAGAAGTACTAAAAGGTAATGATGCGTACAATTTATTTATCATACGAATTTGTATGGACATTTTAAGGTTTACTTGTATTTAAATAAAGAAAGACATATAAAAAAGTTTATATCAAATCTCACCGGCTCTAAAAATGTGATTTTTTAAAATTCCACTTAAATCCAAAAATCCTAAAATTACTCAAATGTTAAAAAGTTTTATAAGATGTTCACAAATCTCAAATGTCTACACCCTTGTAAGTTGAATATATCATTAAATTTTAACAAACTCTAAAATCTTAAAAAAAACACAACTTTTAAAAGGTTTTAAAAGTCATAACGAAATACATCGTGATTCTTAAAATCTCA